ATTGATGTATGAGAAAGAGTGAGAAAATGCTACTTGGTTTTCTATGACTAGGTACCAAAAAAACAGACTAAAAATATGAGAACTCAAGTCTAGAGAGAAAAATGAGAATGACATGGTTAAAGTCTAAAAATCATAAATAAAGTTCAATAAAGACCCAAAATGTTAATCAATCCCTGGGGAAAATAAAGGAAAGTGCTCCGAAGGTTGGAAAAGTGGCTTTTAGGATAAATAAAAGGACTATTCACATTTATGGAATTCATTGTTACCCAGTGGTAAAGACTGAAAAAACAGATGATTTCAGAAAGAGCAGATGAAGTCCTCGCCCATGTAATGGATTTTAAAGGGAAGCCAAGTGTACCCTGGAGTAGCATCCCTAACCTTTGAGGTTGACCACAAACCAGAGAACCAAGGTTTTTCAAGAAACCTCAAGGCCATCTTCACATAGAATATACTAGTCTGCATGAGAGCTGTCAGACCCTTTTAGCAAGTCTTAAATTCCTATTGGAAAGCAAGAACTCCCTCAATGGACTATACATAAGAGAATCTATCAATCTGCTAAACCATTTCTAGGCAAACAGAGGGGAAAAGTGCAGATAAGAGATATATACTAAAAAAAAAACACACAAAAAAACCCTCAATTACCCAATATAAAAATGAAATTATTCATTTACTAGTCAAAGGCTCCCCAAGGAACAGGAACCCTCTTTGTTTTCCCCTCACCTAGTTCAGTTCCTACCATCTAGTAAGTTTTATAATTATGGATTTAACAAGTTCTGCTCTAAAACTACAAATATCTCCCAAAGGGTGTTAAACTAATTATAATTAGTCATTTACACTATTGTAGAATTAACAAATAAGGGGTTAACAACAAATATGGGATTAACAAATCCCAGAAATTATCTAAGCATCTAGGTTGGGATGGTCAGGAACACTGAACAGACCAGTAACATTCCCTTGGCTCCTGGAAAATTAACCACCAAGATCATCATACCTAGAGAGATTAGCATATTGTTAAAGGCCAAAGTCCAAAACACATATGAAAATTTAAAAGAATGCATCACAAAAATAATTCATTTAGATTAACTAAATGTTATTCATGCAATGCCAAGGAAAACATTAAAGTGTTTTAATTGCTGGTAAAATGAATTGAACATCGAGGGAGCATATACTTTTGCCCTCCCATATATACACCCAAAGCTCATCCTTTTGTGGGCCTAAACACTACGTGGAGAGTCCTTATGTATTTGCCAAATACATTAATAAATGTGTATCAGATCTAAAACCAAACTATCTCTGAGGAATATTACTGCACTCATTTCAATAGTATAAACTTTATTTAAATTGCCAATTACTTAGCACCAATGATCTCATCTAACATTCTTCTCTTCATTTTAAGCGAAGCTGGCACTGTAATTATCACTTCAGAGATCATGAAATCACTTGAATCCTTCTTCAGTCAAACCTGGAACAAATTCTATGAGACAGGAAAATCTACTAATAGCCTCCACCACCAGCCCCCCCCACAGAAGCGGCGTTCAGGGCCAGCTGTCCAAAACTGTTCTGTGCCTCCACATCTAACCTGTGTGTGCGCACAAATCCCACCTTACTATGGGAGCTGGGGTTCCAGGGGGGTAGGGGCGGGGCGGGGGTC